ATCTGGCTGCGCAAAATTGGTTCGCGAGAAAGGTGATAGATAGACGTTCCACACAAATGATATTGACTGGAGACACTTGGTCAACTCAACTACTCAAGCCCAGACGTCTCTGATTACAACTCAGAATTTGATGATACGCACACAGTCAGGCCTTGAACTATCCTTGCATGAAGAGATTGAAAGCGGGTACCCCTTGTGTGAAAAAAAAAACCACCGCAAGATGTAGTCTACAATTTTCCTTGAGCGCGATGCGGTGTAACGATGATCCTCGTAGGAATGGAAGTACCATCAACAACTCTCCTAAATTATTGCTTGACTAGTGCCATCCCTTTTTCTATTCCTTTCCACACAGTGGACGCGGTAAACACTGGATCCAACAAATTCCCATTGGGGCCAGTATTATTTTGCACCTAGCAATCATGCACATAAGCCCTCCAGACCGTCGACCAATCGCCAAGCTTGTTTTGCTAGAAGTGCTTGGCTGAAGGACACATATCACGAAAACACATACCACCCTTTGATTTAGGGAGCACCATTTTGTCCCAATTCAACTATAACATATTCCATTTTACTTTCTTTAGGATCCACCAACATATGCCGGACTAGCTTGAAGTGATCAATATTTCCTTCTTCCCAGGAAGCATCTGTCTCTCCCGTTAACTTGCTTCCCAATACTCGTAACAGCAAAGTAAAAGAAACCAAGCCCACGAATGTGAAATAAATATCTGCGGCATAAGACCTAGCTTGTTACAGACATGGGCCTGCCATTGGAATTGAAACAAATACCAACGCAAGGTCATCCCCGACACCGGCAGAGAGCCAAGTGGAGTTTCTCACAGGCACGACCTGTGCGCTTTTAATTACAGGCTACTGTTACGACAAGACGTATGGGAACGACGACATAAACACAGCCTTGGCGAGCCGAGGCGTACATGGTGAAAGGAGAACCTGAACAAACACCTTAAAGAAGTGCCGAGAAAGCTGGACGAATGTCTGGTGTGCGAGTGCCAGTGTGCGTATTTGTCGTCTTTGCCACGTCGAAATGAGCTGGCTTGGCACCCATAATATTGTGTCAAACACCCGTGCTACCGCCACGCACTGCAACGGCAAACCAACCATGCGCGAGGCAATGGCGGCAGCGCAGGGAAGAGCAGCACGAGATGCACCAGGTGGAGCGTTACCTCAATCGACTAAAACGCAGTCTTTGAGACCAAAGATCGCACATGCGATCCTATATATCTAATCTTGACACAAATAGAACCTATCACTCTATCAGCCAAGCACCTTCTTTGTTTGCTGCAACTCCCACAAGCTCCTCAAATAGATGCACGCTAGATTCACCATATATAATAGGACTATCTTTCTTAAAACATGAAGGCAACTAGACCAAAGTTCATGGAACACAAGGAAACAAAACCTCAAAAGTTTCTTCCTAAATAGGAATACTATCTATATAAAGCTAACCTAGCTAAAAGATACTGCACCAACAAGCAATGGATCGAGCTAAACCTAAACTATAAATGCATCATGGAACATAGTCCCGATCTAGGAACTCCCTCAAAGGTTCTTCTAGCGCCTCTGTAACAGCTTCCCACCCAGCAGTTGTCGGGTAAGACTCGTCCCAGTAGAACTTCTTGTCAGGATTCTTGCATAGGTCATAGAGGCGCTCCCCTGAAGGGCTAACCTGTCCACAGTACCCCAGCTCAGTGGAAGCCTCGCAGCAAGGTGTCAGCTTGCGCTTGAAATTGTTTGACTGCTCCGACCCTTCACCTGCATACACATAGTTCCAACAGATGTTTAATAAAATGCATACATGTGAAATCTGATTTAATTTGCATCATGCGCGTGCAGACATATAAAGTACTTACCAGGGGCGTGATTGACGATGTCGGTGAAGGCAGTGTAGAGGTCCAGTATGTGGGCATTATTCTTGTTGCCCATTAGGTGTTCTATATTGCTGTTGTGCACAGTTGCGGCATAGTTGGCCAGAAGGTCGCATGTCGTGTAGTTGCTCGAACTAGTCCGCAAAGGCGTGCAGCCAATGGGATGCATGTTGTTCACTAGTACCTTTCTCACACCTAGCCTCTGTAGCCTCCCCACGTTCTTCGCAATCTCGGTCGTCACATTCCCAATATAACTATCGATCTGCATGGAAGAGAAGTTACTTGGTAAGAAGATGGGTATATAGTAATTGCAGACTGGTTAGTGTTTGCAAGTTTGAGTCTGCTAACTACTACTCACATCATCGAAGCTACTCAAGAAGGCATTCTCTACGTTGGCACCAGTCATGTAGTCACTGCCGGAGATGGAGACGAGAGCGACCGAGCTCTGAAGCTGTTGTTTTGAGATGACCCCAGCATTGAGTAGTCTCGTGAAAGCATTGACCTGTGTGGCAAGGGTCGGCACCTTCTTGTCCGGCACCTCGTAGACGCCAGCGCCGCCGAAAGCAAAGGTCATGCCAGATGGGTCGCAAGATAGATGTGGCGTGAGCCTGTACGATGGAGGGGCTTCACTGAGGCCCAAGATCCTTGCTGCAAGGGAAATAAATCAATAAATATGAAGGATTATTTTTAGTAGAACACATATAAGATTGTAAGGGTCGGAACTAAATTATCTAGAGCGTTGATATGATGGATTATTTTGAATGATCTTAGATATAAGGTTGTACGTGCTCAAAAATAAATTCTCTATCTAGCTAGGTACTAGCATACCAGTATATATACTGAATACGTACCGATGAAGTCAGATTGAATCCAATAGTTGGAAAGGCGCCCAGTTGGAACAGGAGTCGCAGATCCACGGGAGTTGAGATAGGAGCCGTAGGGATAGCTCCATTGACGCCATGTGTCGGTCTCCGGGAGGTTGCCGTTGTCGACGAAGCCATCGCCGAAGACGAACATGCTGGACCATTGGTTCTTTGACCCCTGATCAGCCGAAGGTGTGCCTCATGCCTCCACACGAGCCCCTGTCAGATAGATCAATCATGTCTCAGTGCATGCATGAAGAACTTGACGAGATCGAAGTATAACATGTATACTCGTGGAGCTAGTAACGAATATCTAAAAGCAAAAGCAAGGCTGTAAGGAGTTTATGATGTGCATACCATCCTGTGCAAGGACGAGGAGGAGAAGGCAGAAGACGGTTGGCATGAGCTCCATGGTTACGAGGCCGGCGCCCGGCGCGGAAGCAGATGGCCGGGAGGCGGATGGGTGTAGCTATTTATAGAAGATTCTTCTGATCGGTAGGTAGGTACGTATGGCACATGGACTCACTAATCCCACGTACGTACGCTTGTAACTATAGCATGCATGCGTCAATGTGGAGACGAAGGCACATCTTGGGAGCAAAGACGATAGATAGAAGAATCGTGTGTAGCAACCTTTAAACGACAGATAGATAGAATCGTCGTTATGATCCTGGATCAAAGCTCTTTGTTGTAAGAGAGACGACAAATCGATACTTCCTTGAAATAACAGCTGCTAACCATCTTGGGATAGAATCATCCCCGTGTGTACACACCACATTTTAAGAAAAAAATATCCAATTTGCAATAGATCCAGTGGACACCATAAAAAAATCATAAATCTGATAGGCATCAGATAAGTGTGGCAATGCGTCATTTAAAGAGTGCACAAATGGTGATCTGTAGTAGGTACAAAAACCTGGAGAAAACTCCAGCACATAAAGGGGAATAAAAGGAGGTAATATAAACATCTAACTTCTCCATGGTGAAACTTTTCTTAGTAAAGATTGTGTTTCAAGACAACCTGGTAAAAAATTCCACACTTTCACTCCTTACCATGCATTCTAAAACACTTTGAGAGAACGAAGAGTTATTACGAGGTACACACACTCAGATACTTATAATTAGTACAATCCCAAATGCAATATGACTGCTATATAAGAACAGAGTGCATGCATTTTGCTGTCGCTGCCGAGCAGGGCATTTTGGAGAGCCAGCAGGCCTTAGTGTGTGATGTATATGTGTGTATGTGTAAAATTCAAAGATGTAATGTGTATGTGTATAAAATTTCAGGATCAAATCCCTTGAATTGCGAGCTGCACAAAATAAAAACACAGACTTTGAGGATGAACAATACACATATATGCAACCCTGATTTTTTTTTTGTGTAGCTCTCATTTTAGCATATTTTGACCTGAAAATCTACACACATGTACATTATGTCGCTAGGTAAACGTCTATTTTTTCAGAAGTTTTTGAAACTTAAAAGTATGAATGTTGAAGTTTTCAAATCAAGGCCTCCATGGAGCTCGGTCTCCGTTTGGCATTTTTCGCTACCAAAGGCACTTACAACACCTAGACTGGAGAATCAAACTTACCTACAGGTGGGCTGGCCAGCGCTCTTCCATGCGCGTTCATGACATCGTGTTGGAGGTGAGATTCACGGCTAGGGCAGGAGCCTTTCATATCGTCCTTGCCAGTGCGACATCTGCTGCATGCGCTCGTTTGTTCTAGCAAGCCTGGCCGTGCTCTGCGCGCAATTATTTGAGGCAACAACATATGGCAGAACACCTTTCATTCCTTAACATACATGGTAAAATACTTTAAGATAAATGTACAATGTTTGCGAGTTACACACTCTCAAATACTTATTAGTGCAACCCCAAATCCCAAATACAATATATGTGAACTCAATACACACAACATAAATATGGACTAGGGGCATCATGCAAATCTGTTGAGAGGCAATTACAACCCGCTACATGTAACAGATTCATATATATATTTCTCTTGGTTCCACTTACGTAGCGACTAAATTACAACCAATTTATCAGAGAGTACAATAGACATATTATTTTTATTATTTTAGAGATAGAGTATGCTCATTGAAGATCGGACGATTGAACTGCTACACGCATCATAGCTTGCCTGAGGAAAAACAAGATTAATTTCAATCAGACAAAGTCTCTGAGGTGTGCAGTATGTATATAAGTAGAGCAATAAATCATTACCATCCATAAGCAAGATACTGTAGAGTTCACTTGTTTTTTGTTCCTGCAGACTTCGGTTTTCCGGCACCATGAGACTCCGCATGCCCCCTTTGACTGCTGCTTGTTGATGATTGCCCATTCCTATTGCTCTCTGATGATGATGGGACATGACGTCTAGGTTGATCTGCATGCACGCAAGATCACAGGGAGATGACAAAAGAAACTTTAGCAAAATCATTTTGGACATGGAATGGAACCTAGATAAAAAATGCAGAGCAGAAAATCAGGTGCCACATAATGTACATATATGTACACTCGGTCTTGTGTGATATGAGTCGATTAGTACTCCCTCTGTTGATGTATACAAAGCCATTTAGTCTTTTCTTTTTTTTTTAAATCAAGCTGTTTCAATTTTGATCAAGTTTACATGCGAAAATATCAACATATATTAATACCTAATCATTACATTTTGAATACTTATTTCATGATAGATCCAGTAAAATTGATTTGATAGTCTATGTTTATTTTTTAGATGAGATTAATTAAGTTATCTTGTATTCATAGGTGAAGCCGTGGAGTATTGTATACATAGGCAGACTCTATGCTTCTAACTCGAGTGACAAGGTACAAACCAGTAGAAGATGCCTGACTTTGTTTCTGCCACTCTGTTGTGGATGGTTTCCTTGCACTCGCAGGCATACCACTAGCTGCATGACATCAACTAACTAATAAAAGAATATAGATGATAACTCTTATTCCCAGCAATCAAATTTCTATACAGGCACATGGCTTAATCCTTGCTCCATGGGAAATCAGAATTTACATAAGGTAAATGGTTAGTACATGCCTCTGTGGGTCACTAAGCACGGATTCAAAAATAAATGACTCGCTATAGATGGTGTGCAGAAATTTTTCTATTTTTAGTATTATTAGATGAAAGATAGTATTATTAGATTTATCATGAAAAAAATTAAGATGAAAGATAGTATTATTAGATTGATCATGAAAAATATTTCAATAATATGAAGTTTTCGGCAACATACGCTCACTAAAGGTATTGATCAAATATTCATGTTCAACACATGTTAATGTCAAGATATTATCTATTTACAGAGGCTGGATAGAATACACTCAAGTGATCCATCAAAGGAAGAGGTGATACTAATTAATTAGTTTTTCTGATACAAGCACATGGCTTAATCCTCACTCCATGAAAAGTCAAAAGATATATAAGTTAAATGGTTAGTACATGCATCTGTGGGTTAGTAACCACGGATCAAAAAATAAATGACTTGATAGAAACGGATGAAGCAAAAAGATTCTATATATTATTGCTTGTACAAAAATATTTATATATCAGTAAGATGGAAAATATTTCAAATAATACAAAGTTTTCCAGCTCAAATAATCGTATACAAAGTTTTTCTGCAGCATACGCCTACTAAACCAAATGATCTAGGATTCACCATCAAGACGTGTCAATCTCGAAAATATTATCTCTTTATTAAAGCCGGATAGAATAGACTCAAGTTTTTCTGAGAAAGGAAGAGGTGGTACAAATTAATCACTACCAAAAGATGCATGTTTAACAGCATTACGCGATGTCACCGGCGTAGTGGGATTAATACTCATCGCCGCATGTCAAATCAGATTACTTTTAGGTAATCGAATACAAAATAATACATAATTTAACTCTGGCTATACTCGAGCCATCGGTGAGAGGTACTAACCCGTGGCAGCCTGTGCATTCAGGGCATCCTGTTGTCGAGTATTAGGTGTTGGCGAAGCCAAATGAATATTCATTGGAGTAACCGTCTTGCTATTGCCCCCTGCACGGCATATCAGATGTATATAAATAAGTTAGAAAAGTAGCGTGCATGTAATATAGGAGTGCTATGATAATCATTACAACGCTAACCAACTGAGCCTTCACCGTTCTGTTGTTGTTGGAGGCCATAATGCCTAACTGTTTCTGAGCTAGGTTGAAAATATCGATTCTTAACGCATATGGAGCGCGCATTGTAAAAATTGCATCAACTCGAACGATCATGACATCTAATGCAAAATTAGTATGGGTATAATAACTAAAATTTTAATTTCCACTAGTTGATTACATTGATGTTGGATTTTATGGACTCCTCTGAGTGAGTCCTAATTTCATTAAATGTTTAATTTGACCCATGATTTTTTTTTACTGGATCTACCTAGTCAATGGAATATGTGTTGAATGCATGCAATACGGAAATGGTTTTGGAAATTATTGGAAGTGCATTGAAATTAATGTTGTGTTCTCTGAACACGATAAGCAAGCCACATATAAAATATATTACTAGTCGCCAATGAAATAGTGCTCACATTTATGTGGTTATGATCAACTCCTCGACAGATATATATTTCAAACTACATTTATCACTAGCTGAAATAAGGCACGAAAATGCACTAATAAATTTTACATTTATTTTCTCTTGCTAGAAACGGCAGAAAAGTACTGATATTCTTCTAAAGGTGTGAACAAGATATCTTAAATAAGTTCTGGATCATGTTTAGTTTCCTTGACCTTGCCACTCAAATTAGCACAAGTCTTTTGGGAGTTAATGTAGGAGATCTTTAGCTAGCTATGTCATAATATTCTACACGAAAACAGTTATGGGTATACATATGGTATAACTGTCATAGCGCAGCTTTTTTTGATTTGACTAGCTGATGTATATGTGTGCATATGGTACGTGTTCCTTAGTCGTTGTTCCAAGTTGGAACAAAAGTTGTTTATTAGGACATCGAGTCAAGCCATTTTTACTTTTAGAATTTGCATGATATATGTTCCTTATTACTAATTAGGAAATTTTTTTCTTGAATAATTTATTGGGCACATAGTTAATTAACCAGTACATTTCAATCTTAGTATATTTAATTAACAGGAGAAGCGTACAAACAACACCGTGTTGCCCCGAAAAACAGATTAGGGCATAATTGCCCCGGAAAACATCGTGTCATGAGCGATTAGCTATTCCAAAACCTATATCAACAACAAAACTATTCTGCAGTGTGCATAAACTAAGGCATTTGGTTTGGTCCGACCATCTTAGAGCTTTGGACACCATCAACAGAAGAAACTTGCTTGACTCATTCTTAAAGTGAGCCTTTCCTCTTTTACTGAAGGACTATAGATGTATAAGAAGTTTAACGCATTGTGACGTACGTTCAGCGGGCCCTCAGGACACCCAAATAACCCGTAGAAGTCTCCATGTCTTCCACATCTCTTTTCCTGATCCTCTCTATCATCCATATTTTCTATCAAAAGTTATGGATAGGTGCTCGACACTAGGTTCTATTTATTTATTTTATATGAACAAATTCCGTTTATTTATAGGACTCATAGTCTATTTTACCCTGTAAAATTTATTCCTTAATATGGCATCCTCGATGTGAGCTTGTGCGGCTCGATTCCACCGTCGAAGCCACCCTGGATCTACGTTTGCTAAATCTAGTCCCTTTTAGTCCCAGTCAGTGTTTCACATGACAAAGTGCAGATATACTAATATATCCTACAAGTGTCATGGAGGCTCTTTCCTATGCACATACTTGGGCTTGACCTTGAGAATAACATGCCTAGGATTTATACCCCTGTTTCAAGGAGGGGGAAAGAGATTAGGTATGTGTTCCGATTATGGAGGAAGACTTCAAATTATTAATGTTTTTCTTTCATCTCTTCCAAACTTATGAGTTGTCTCAAATTATATAATGGCACCATGGAGGGGTTTGATAAATATACGACACACAATCTTTGGATGAGGAAGGATTCAAAGATGAAGAATACACCTTTGGCTACATTTAATATAGAGTGCAGGGAAAAGATTAGGAAGGTGTTCGGTCATTAACCTAGAGGTTCGGAATTTCAAACATCAAGGATGGATTGCTAGTTGGAATCCAAATAAAAAAACCAAGCAGGAATTATGACGACATGTAGGTGTGGGCGTGATTTGAAACGGTCGAACAAATATATGACTAGTGATGGGTATGAATATGTGCCTAGTTAAGTTTTAACCAGAGGGGATAAAAATGATGGATCATGAACTTACAACCTTGCCCGCAAATATCATCTACTATGGTTGCTAGATCTATTTAGTTCTCACTGGGAATTGGATTAACAAAGGGATTTTCCTTTTCCGCCTCAACCTTGGCCATTGAAGACTGGGTTGTTGTCCATATAAAAACAATGGCTAGGATGCTAGGTTGCCTAAGAATATATGAATTTCAAGTACTTTCTACTAGAATGTTTGCGTCAAAGAGCTTCTTCTGAGAAGCGGTTGAAAATAACTACGACTTTCCCATGGTGCCACTCCCCTGCATGCGTTGATTGTTTTTGATGAGTTGGTGACAGCATGGTCGCGGAGTACAACTGTCTGGTTGCCTGTCACTTCCTCTTGGACCGTGTGTGATGTACCCCTCTTAGGGGTAATCAACTAGTGGTTATGAACTCAAACGATATGTTGGGAGAGTTTTTAGACATGAGTTAGGCCATGTGATGAACTCAAAACCGTATGAAAAAAGCATTATTAAATTTATCATGAAAAATATTTCGAATAATACAATGTTTTTCTATGGCATATGCCTACTAAAGCTCATGATCTATGATTCATGTTCAAGACGTGTCAAAGCCAAAATTATTATCTGTTTGTGAATGCCGGAAAAGAATAGATTCAAGTGATCCATGGAAGGAAGATGTGGTACTAATTAGTCAGTACAAGAAGATGCTTGTTTACCGGCATTTCGTGATGCCAGTGGAGTAATGTGATTCGTACTCATCGCTGCATGGCCAATCATATTACTTTCAGGTAAACGAATAAAAACAACAAATAACTTAACTCTGGATATACTCGAGCCATTGGTGAGAACTACTAACCCGTGGCAGAACGTGCATTCAGGGCATCTGGTTTTTGAGTATTAGGTGTTGGCAAAACCGAATGAATCTTCAGTGGAGTAACCGTCTTGCTACTTGCCCCTGCACGGCATATCAGACATATATGAATAACTTAATAAAGTAGCGTGCATGTGATATGCGAGTGCTATCCTAATCATTGCAACGCTAGTCAGCTCACGCTTCGCCGTTTTGTAGTTGTTGCAGGCCATAATTCTTTACCATTTGTGAGCTGGGTTGAACTGTGATTACCAAATGCATCGGAAAAATTGATTCTAATAGAAGCAAGTGGAGCAGGCATTGTAAAAATTGCATCAGCTAGAACGATTGTGACGTCTAATGTGAAACTAGTACGTGTATAATAACTATAATTTTAATTTGCACTAATTAATTACAATGATGTCGTAGTGTATGGACTCCTTTGAGTGAGTGCTAATGTCATTGAATGTTTAATTTGACCCATGAGTTTTGCTTTGACTGGATCTACCTAGTCAATGAAATATGCGTCGAATGCACGCGGTCCAGAAGTGGGTTGGAAATTATTGGATGTGCATTCAAATTAATGTTGAGCTCTTTGATCACCACGTGGGAACCACATATAAAAAATATATCTAGTCGCAAACGTAATAGTGCCAACATGTATCTGGTTTTGATCAGCTCCTCCACAGATATATCTTTACAACTATATTTATTAGTAGCTGAAATAAGGCTCGAAAATGTACTAATAATTTTTACATTCATTTTTGCTTGCTAGAAAATGGCACCAAATGTACTGATAGTCTTCTAAAGGTGTGAACTAGATATCTCCAAACAAATGTTGGATCATGTGTAGTTTCCTTGACCTTGGCATTCAAATTAGCACAAGTCTTTTGAGAGTTAATGTAGGAGATCTTTGGCTAGCTGGGTCCTAATATTCTACACGATAACAGCTATGGGTATCCATATGGTATAATTGTCATATCGCGGCTTTTCTTGATTTGACTAGCTGATGTATATGTGTGCATATAGTAGATGTTCCTTAGTCGTCGTTCCCAGTTGGAACAAATGTTAATTGATTAACGCACGAGTCAAGCCATTTTTACTGGTAGAATTTGGATGATATATGTTCCTCATTACTAATATAGGATTTTTTTGCTTCAATAATTTATTGGGAACATACCTAATTAACCAGTACAATTCAATCTTACTATGTTTAATTAAGTAAGAGTATAAGCATACAAACAACACAGTGTTGCCTCGTAAAACAAATTACGGCATAATTATCATGTATTATATCGCACATCATGAGCGATTAGCTATTCCAAAAGCTATATCAACAACAGAACTGTTCTGCAACGCGCATAAACTAAGGCATTTGGTTTGGTCCGACCATCTTGGAGTTTTGGACACTATCAACGGTAGAAACTTGATTAATTCATTATTAAAGAGAGCCTTACTTTTTTACTTAAGGAGTATATTTGTACAAGAAGTTAAACGCATTGTGGCACATGTTCATTGGGCCCTCGGGTTTGACACCATAACCCATAGGAGGCTCCGTGACTTGTGCGTCTCTTATCCTCAACCTATCTATCATCCGTATTTTCTATCAAACGTTATGAATAGGTGCTCGACAGTAGGTTCCATTTATTTATTTTATATGAACAAATTTCGTTTTTTCATAGGACCATAGTCTATTTGACCCTATAAAATTTAGTACTTAATATGGAATCCTTGATGTGAGTTTGTGGGTCTCGATTCCACCGCCGAAGACACCCTGCATCCAGATTTGCTAAATACACTCATTTTTAGTGCAAACCAGTGTTTCACGGAACGAATTGCAGATATACTAATATATCCTACAAGTGACATGGAGGCTCTATCCGATTCACATGCTTGGGCTTGACGTTGAGCATAACATGCCTAGGACTTATACCCTTGATTCAAGGAAGGGAAAAGAGATTAGGTATGTGTTCTTATTGTGGCGGGAGACTTCAAATTATCAATGTTTTTCTTTCATCTCTTCCAAACTTATTAGTTGTCTCAAATTATACAATGGCCCCACGATGGGGTTTGATAAATATACGATACATAATGTTTGGATGAGGAAGGATTAAAATAAGAAGAATACATCTTTGGCTACATTTAATATAGACTGCAGGGAAAAGATTAGGCAGTTCTTGGGTCGTTCACCTGAAAGTTCAGAATTTCAAACATCAAGGATGGATTGCTAGTGGGAATTCAAATAGAAAACCAAGCAGGAATTATAACAACGTGTGGGTGTGGGTGTGATTTGAAACGGTCAAACGAAGATATAACTAGTGATGGGTATGTAAATGCTCCTAGTTAAGTTTTATCCTGAAGCGATATGAAATGATGAATCATGAATTGAGAACCTTTCCCTTAAATATCTTGTACCATGGTTGCAGGATCCATTTAGTTTTCAGTGGGATTTGGATTAACAAAGGGAGTTTCCTTTTTTTCAACCTTGGCCATTGAATACTGGGCTTTTATCCCTATAAAATCGATGGCTAGGATGCTAGGTGGCCTAAGCATATATGAGTATCAAGTACTTCCTATTACAATGTTTGTGTCAAAGAGCCTCTTCTGAGAAGCGATTGAAAATAACTACCACTTTCCATTGGTGCCACCGGAATGCATGTGTTGATTGTTTCTGTCGAGTTGGTGACAACATGGTCTTGGACTACAACTGTTTGGCTGGTTGTCACTTCCTCTTGGACCGTGTGTGATGTTCCCCTCATATGGGTAATCAACCAGTGGTTATGAACTCAAAACCATATGTGGGGAGGGTTTTTAGGCATGAGTTAGAGCATGTGATGAACTCAAAACCATTTGTGATGGACCCAAAACTAGATTAAAAAAAGCATCATTAGATTTATCATGAAAAATATTTCAGATAGCACAGAGTTTTGCACTTCAAAAAAAACATATACAATGTTTCTCTGCAGCATATGCCTACTAAAGCTAATGATCTAGGATTCATGTTCAAGACGTGTCAATGCCAAAAATATTATCTATTTACGGAGGCTGGATAGAATAGACTCAACTGATCCATGAACGGAAGAGGTGGTACTAATTAGTCAGTACAAGAAGATGCATGTTTCACAGCGTTATGCGATGACAGCAGCATAACAGCATTCGTACTCATCGTCTCATGTCAAATCAGTGTACTTTCAGGTATTCGAATACAAATTAATAAATATCTTAACTCTGGATATACTCGAGCCTTCGGTGAGAGGTACTAACCCGCGGCAGCCCTTGCATTCAGGGCATCATGTTGTCGAGTATTAGGTGTTGGTGAAGCCGAATGAATCTTCTGTGGAGTAACCGTCTTGCTACTGCCCCCTGCACGGCAAATCAGACATATATAAATAAGTTAGTAAAGTAGTGTGCATGTGATATAGGAGTGCTATGCTAGTCATGACAACGCTAACCAGCTTACCCTTCAATGTTTTGTTGTTGTTGGAGGCCATAATGCTTAACCGTTTGGGAGCTAGGGTTAAGTATGATTGCCAAATGCATCGGAAAAATTGATTCTTATAGATGCATATGGAGCGGGCATTTTAAAGGTCACATCAACTAGAACGATCATGACATCTAATGCAAAACTAGTACGTCTATAATAACTACAATTTAAAAAAATTTAAACTAGTTGATTATATTGATGTGGGAGTGTATGGACCCCTTTGAGTGAATGCTAATGTCATTGAATGTTTAATTTGACCTATGAGTTTTGCTTTGACTGGATCTACCTAGTCAATGGAATATGTGTGGAATGCACGCGGTCCATAAATGGTTTCAACATTATTGGAAGTGCATTCAAATTAATGTTGAGCTCTTTGAACACGATGTGTAAGCCACATATAAAATATATTTCTAGTCGCAAACAAAATACTGCCCACATGTATGTGGTTTTGATCTCCTACTCCACAAATATATCTTTCAAACTAGGGTCATTTACATTTTAGCCCCTAACTCGAACCACCAACTCACATTTACCCCTAATTCCAAAGTGTTCTCAAATTTTCCCCTCTCCCGTTAAGTGCGGTTATAGAAATGTTCTTCCGCACATTTTCCGTCCGGCCAAAGGCCTTTGACAAGTTGTGGGTTCCAATTAAGGTCAAATGTAATTGTCCCTTCAAACGATATTTATTAGTAGCTCAAATAAGACACGGAATGAACTAATAAATTTTACATTTTTTTTGGATTGCTAGTAAACGGCAGAAAACATACTGATAGTCTTCTAAAGGTGTGAACAAGATATCCTGAAATAAGTGCTGGATCGTGTGTAGTTTCCTTGAGAGTTTAATACACCGGAGGTGCCTAAACTTGTCTTGCATGGTCAACTTGGTGTCTAAAGTTGTAAAATACATGAAACTTGTGGTCGAACTTGTCCAACCATACAAATACGGTGCCTCCTTCCGTATTTAGACATAGGCCCTGCCAATATAACGTGTCAACATCGCAGTGACCCATATGTCAGTGGCTATGTGCGGGGATGCGTCGGGTGCCCCACTCATGAGGAATAAATTTGCAGAAACCCCCCGTCAAATACACTATATGGTAGAGAGAAATAACATGAAGAAAAAACCTTCATGGAGAGGGGTTAGAACCTGCACCTCCAGGTTACCAAATATCGGGATCTAGCCACGCGAGCAAACTATTAGGTACCTACAAGTATTAGCTAGAAAGCTTTGTAAACCAATTCGACATATGCTGCTTTCAAACTTTTATGATGCGTTATCCACCAGTTTTATTTTTTATTTTTTCCAAGTTCCTGCTTAGTTTTATGACAGATCAATTTTTCCAAATAAATATATAATAATGATCAATATACAACTACCATGTATTATTAAATATTTTTTATTTTTTCATTGTTTTCTACTTTGAAGAGGTAAAATTACTTTTTCAAAAATTTATGCGTATTTAAATTTTTCAACCAATATTTTAAACTATTATGTAAAATTTATATACCTTCATTCTAGACAAGGAGCACAAACAACTATTAAGTGTCTTAATTTTATTTCTACAATTCCAAAACATTAAATATTTGACAACATTTTATTTTGTGAACTATTCAACATGCACTAAAATTTATTGTGTAATAGTCTTAAACCCTAGAAATGCATAAAACATGACAAATTTTTTTTAGAAATGTAAGGATAATGTTACATAATAATCATTTCTAAAACATGCTCAAACTTTTTTTAATACACATTGTCAATTTTTTTAATGCATCACATTTGGTTTTCAAAAACACGTTCTAACTTTTGAATACATGTGAAACATTTTCCAAAAACATGTTGATATGTTTCAAATGCACTAGCACTTTCTATAAGTTTATGGCAGTTGTAATTTTTTTCTTACTTTTGTTCTTTCAAAAGGTAGAAACAATATCAACAACAAAAGTAAAGACAAGCTTGAAAAAAAAAACCTGTGCCGAACCATATGAGTGCCATATATAGATGAAACGCTAGAAGAGGTACATAGCGACCAAAGCAGATTTTTGGATTACGGTGGCCACTGAGCACATTTTCCTAAAGGTTAAAACTGGCATTTAAAAGTTTCTTTTCTTTTTCACAACAAAAACGTGTGCATGTTCTCTGACTGTCAAATTTCATTTGAAATTATGTTATATTTTACCCTGAAATAAAGATAAAAAACAGCCAAAAATTAGCTGATTTTTGCATGTATTTGTATTTTTTGGATATCTCACATAAAAAGACTGATTTTGAAGAAAATTCGCACTATTTATTACATTTCTATGTGTGCACATATAAATGATTTTAGAATTTTTTTGAGCTGTAGAACTTCGTTTCACTGAACTTCAGGAAAACGGGCACAATGTGTCTCGTGCTACAAAGTTACCTATTGCATAAACGTCATATATAAATTCGACCTCGTGAGAATCCACCATGATAGTTTGCCGTGGTGGACAGCCTGTGCCTACAATGCAACCTGCGACCATGAGTTCCACCATCGATTCTACATCCAACAATTTATTTCTACTGCAGGCACCGTATTTGTATGGCAAGACTAGTTCGAGCACCTGTTTCATGTATTTTGCAACTTTAGGTACTAACTGAAGGCGCAAAATAAAATGAGGCACCACCAGTGTATTTAACTCTTTCCTTGACCTTGTCACCCTTGCATTCAAATTAGCACAAGTCTTTTGGGAGTTAATGTAGGAGATCTTTAGCTAGCTAGGTCCTAATATTCTACACGAAAATAGTTATGGGTATACATATGGTATAACTGTCATGGCGCAGCTTTTCTTGATTTGACTAGCTGATGTATATGTGTACATGTAGTAGATGTTCCTTGGTCGTCGTTCCAAGTTGGAACAAAAGTTAATTGATTAACTCATTGAGTCAAGCCATTTTTATTTGTAGAATTTGGATGATATATGTTCCTCATTACTAATATAGACATATTTTTGCTTAAATAATTTATTGGGCACATAACTAATTAACCAGTACAATTTAATCTCAATATGTTTAATAAAGAGGAGAAACATAGAGACAACATTGTGTTGTCCCGCAAAAAAATAGTGCGTAATTGTTTTGATTATATCGCTCGGCATGAGTGATAAGCTATATCAACAATAGAGCTGCTTTGTAGTGTGCATAAACTCAAACCTTTGGTTTGGTCCAACCATCTTGGAGTATTACATGGAATTAACGAAAAACACTTGCTTGACTTATTATTATTGTAACCCTTTGTTTTTTTACATAAGGAGTACATATGTATTAAACGCATTGTGGCGTTTGCTTAGAGGGCCCTCGGGTTTGACGCCCAAATAACCTATAGGAGGCGTCCTGTCTTCCACATCTCTTCTCCTGACCCTATCTATCATCCGTATTTTCTATGAAAAGTTATGAACATGTGCTCAGCAGTAGGTTCCATTCCTTAAGCATATATGAGTATCAAGTACTTTGTAGTAGAATGTTTGCGTCATAGAGCCTCATCCGAGAAGTGATTGAAAAAAACTACCACTTTCCCCTGGTGCCACTCCAGTGTATGCGTTGATTGTTTCTGATGAGTTTGTGACAACATGGTCGTGGACTATAACTGTTTGGCTGGCTGTCATTTCCCCTCGGGCCGTGTGTGATGTGCCCTTCATAGGGGTGATCATTCAGTGGTTATGAACTCAAAACAATGTGTGGGGAGGGTTTTAGACATGAGTTATATTAGCTTCAAAACCCAAGTTTGCACAATCTATGCAGCCATTGCAAACTTGATGTGGCCAAAAAAAGGGAAAGTGGTGGTGGTGGTTCGGATGAATTTCCCAAGTGGCAAATGGTTGTGCTTTGAGACTCGGGTGGGTTTCTCTTCAGTTCGGGTGCTGGTCCGGATCATGTCTTGGCCAAATATTTTCCCCGAACAGACTCAATTCTCACCAAACCCGACAAATATACAAAACCAGATACATACACATACATATATATG